AAGCCATTGAAACAAGCACAGAAGCTTAAGTAGATCTAGATCTAGATCTAGATTTCTAGATCTATATCTACTGTTGATATGATAGTATGAATCAAGTTGCATGATAGATCTAGTGTGTCTCCGCCAATTCACAGGCAAGTAGCCTAGGCCTAGCGTAGTCAAGAGTCGCCCTTCGGACACTTCGGTCATTCGCCAACCACTAGGGGCCTAGATCTAGAATCTAAATCTATATCTAGATCTAGATCTAGATCTAGATTAGATCTAGATTATAGATCTACTTTCCGAACTGCACTCTTGGCTGGTTGCACTTCAAAATCTAGACCTATATTCTAGAACTAGAATCTAGATCTAGATCTAGAAATCTAGATCTAGATCTAGATCTGTCTAGATTCTAGAATCTAAATCTAGATCTAGATCCTAGTTTCTAGATCTAGAATCTAGATCTAGATAGGCTACGTTTATTAATTAAATACTCTATCTGGGCTACAATATAATTTTAGTAGGCCTAGGCTAGACATGCTGCCCGAGATGATCAGTAGTGTTGCATTGTAACCAATGTAAACTATCGCCAGCCCAGCGAGTTATACGCGCATCTGGCAAAGTGGGAGGGGCTTGCGCTTGTCATATGAAGTAAAGAAGAGTTGTCTCGTCTTGTCTTACTCCGTCTTGGCTTACACCACAACTCATGTATTAAATTATTTTTATACCATACTTGGAACTGTTTTAGCATTGCACTTCCGGTAAAATATATCCTTATATTTCACACGTGAAATATAGGCTGGCTAAGCTGAAATCTCACACGTGAAATATAAAAATTTGCATAAATTACTCCGCGCACTAGATCTATATTCACCTTCTACTTCTATCCCTCTGTGTAGGCTAAGCAAAGTGGCCTAGGTCTAGATGTATATCTAGATCTAAATCTAGTAAAAACTTAAAAACTTCGCTGCAAAGCGCGCTTACCAGTGGCAATCAAACACTTCTCCCAGTCTTGCTGTCCATTATAGTCGAGTATAGGTGCAAATCTTTCTACGTTGCTCTTAATTTTGTTTCAAATAGAGTCAAATGATGGGCACAGCAATGATTACGCCAGGATTACGCCAGAGTATGGTGCTGTTACGTTCGGTTCATTTCTCGAATAAAATAATCAGAGAGTGGACAGTAGATTTAAATACATTTTAATTAGATTTATCAAACAAAATGATAGATCTACAACACAATAAATAGCACCACTTTACTTTGGCACTTAGAATCTAGATCTAGATTTAGATCTAGACCCTAGGTCTAGAGGCCTATATTTTCTTAACATTTTTTTTCACTTTGGTCGCATAAAACTTCCGAACCACTTAACTTTCGCATTTGAAAATACCAACGATGGTTCAGAATCCTTTATAGGGTGCACAGTAAGGAGTCTGAAGTCACTGTAGTTTAGTTTTTCCGTTTTTCTTTAGTTTAGAAGGTCTAATCTTTGGAAAGTCCGTCTTCTAAGATACCATTGTAGACAAGTGAGGCTTACGTTCTCACATGCAGTGCGCACTGGTCCCACAATGACTTGACCATCGATTCTTTTAGAGTCCGTTCATCGAAAGAGGTACCCAGCCAGTTTGTAATATTTTGGGTTGCCTCTCTATAATGCCAACTCTCTATAACGACATTATTTTCTGGACTTGGCGATGTCGTTATAAATAGAGAGCGGTGCACTGTAGGTTTTTCTGGCTTGATCTTGTTGAGATGGTAGTTTAGAGTTAAGAGGTATTTATAATGCATGTTGTTGTGTTGGGAAGTAAACTATTGTCGTCTGTTCCCTTATATTTAGTGCTTTTATAATAGATTTTTACCACTCAATGGTGTGTCGACTAAGGTTGTTTGATTTTCTAATTTTAAAAAAAAGTTCTATGCATGAGCTATGAGCCTATTTTATAATGTAAAATGACCATTTATCTAGCAGTAGGTCAAAAGGGAATATCATACATTGTAAAATGTTTTATAAATGAATTTTTGAAAATGATGTTATCAAAACTTAATACCATTATAATGCAATATAATGCCACCTATAACCCTTGTCTGTGATGTAGCAGTTAGGCGCTTCACCATCACCCACAGAAGACCCAAGTTCAATTCTTGTGTGAGGAGATAATATATATTATATATTTTACAAGTATGTCTGTCTTCCTGCTGGGATGTTTTTATCCCTCTCAGTTCGGGTTGGTCCTGACATGCAGAATTTAAGCCTCCTAAATTAGTGAATGATCTAAGCTGTGTAAAAAAATGTCTCTTTGATGAATTCTTAATTTTATTTCTTCCAGGTGACTGTTTAAGTTTACTGAAGCGAGAAAAACCTTGCCACAGAAGAAAGTACAAGCGAGAAAAATTGTAACAATGTGACATTTGCGACTTTCATTGTAACAAAAATTGCTACCTCGTAAGTAAAAAAAGATCACACACTGGGGAAAAAACCCTACAAGTGCGATATTTGTTTTCTGGGTTTTGCACGGCGCTA